GGCAATTCGTTCCTGTGCTTTCACTAATCTTAGTATCCTAGTAAAGGATTCGATTTCGCACCCTCCTTCCAACAAATGCGGCCCTCTTCAATTTGCGTGACCCCCGCCCCCTCCCCCCACCCCCCCACCTTTAAGAGTTTTATTTCGACAAGAGCCCCTTTTTCATTATCTAACCCCATTACTAGCTTATTTCTGAGGCCCCTTTACAGGGGAGGGAATCTGGATATCCCATATCCCGTTTAAATTTCCCGGAGAAATTTGAAATTAGAAAACGCTGCGAAATTTGAAAACGCAGCTTTGGCCTACCGTCCACGCCAATCCGTCACGGAAAAGAGCTTTCGAAAACGCTCTTCAAACCGCAGGAATTTGAAAACGCCGGCTTTTTGTTTTCGTGTGGACGGAAAACGTTTTGGAGCTTTTTGAAAACGATGACGTCACGACAATCACGTGATTTCCCTGCCCGAGTTTTCCTCAAACACAAATCCAAAATGGCCGCTGATTGTTGCCTTTTTAAATTCCTTCGGCGTAGTGTGGACGGAGAACATTCGATGCGTTTTCAGAGTGAAACCTCAAACACCTGCTGCGTTGTGTGGACAGGGTCTAAGTATCACAAGTATCTACATGCTCTAACAGACCCTGACAGTTCTCGCTTTTATTTCACAGACAAAGATACACATTGTATTAGTTTCTTTCTTTTCATTTCAGCCGTTATAACGCTGATGAAAAATCATGTATATCAGCTGCAATATGTTATAATTGTGCTATCATTGCAATGTTCACTTAGAATTTAAAGTAGCTTTTATCGTTAAAGGTATGTGTCCAGTAAGCTATTGCTAATTTAATCGATCGATCGATCGATTGATTGATTGATTGATGGACTCATTTACTTACTAATTATATAAAAGTATATCGTTGCAAACCCAAATTGAAATAACACCTTCTCAGACAAGAGAGGAACGACAACAGTCTGAAAATCAAAAGCATACTCTGTAAGAAACTATGTGATACATAAAACTTATGCACTAGTTTGACATGCAATAAGTTAGGATAACATTTACGAGTTGTGTAGTATTTTTCCGACAGAGATCCCTGAAGGGACGAGGGAAAATGCGGGCAACGAATACACGACCTAACATTTAATTTTTTTCTACCTGTTTCGTAGTCAAACATCACAAAACTCTGAAATGACATTTCACACGATCTGATGCCTCAAATCTAAAAAAACCTCAATCAAAATTACGCACATTTAATTGCCCTTAGAAACGAGCCTCTTAACAAAATGATATAACTATCTATATCAAAAGTCACAATGATTTTTTCTTTTCAGTGTCTTCTCCCTTTTCTGCAAACCCAAAGAGTATCGACTTTACGAAACACAAGACAACTTTTGTAATCAAAACCGTTATAGCACTACAGCCAGCGAACATGCCTGGGGTCCAGTCTAGCCATATCTTCTCAACCTGTACCATTTTAAAGCCCGCTTCTTCTATCCAAGACAGAGTTTCTCGATCACAGCGACATCCATTGAATACGGTGGGCCAAATGAGTGACTTTGATACAATTTGCTGAACAAGGTATTGGAGAGTCCATGGCTTTCCTATCAGAAAGAACAGCAAAGAAATATTGCATAAAAACAATGACCCACATCGCTCATGACGCGAATTCAGTGGAGTATTAAAACACCCCTGGATTGGGGACAAGGGTGGCGCAGAGGAAATTGCTGACTTCCCACCACTGTGACCTGGGTTATATTCCTGAACCCTGTATTATATATGGGTTGAGTTTGGCCGGTTGGCTATCGTCCTTGCTCCGAGGGTTTTTCTCTGGTTTCTTCAATTTTTCTGAATGCAAATTCCATTTCGATATGGTTGCCCATATTTCGTGTGGCACGAAAATTTTATTGGAATTTAACTTTTCGGATTGGTGATTTTTTGTATTTTTGGAAATTTCTGAGACAGTGAAAGACTGGCTTTTCCTGCTGGGCATTAATTTCTGCGATTAGCAACACTTTTGTTTTATCGCTTACACTACATGCAATCGACAGGTCAAACAACAGGCAGAGCTGCAAAACACGGTAATCAATGTCACTCTATCACAATATTACATCTTGCCCCAGTGTGGCCGACAGTATCGTCAGATTATCCTTTCCTGTTAACGTTTTAATATCAGCTACACCTGAGGTGCACCGAGGCGATTTCATGCACTTAATATTCTGAATTCACTAACCTGCTACATGTTCAAGAAAATAAAACCTTCCACCCTGAAACAAAGTAAAAAAAATCTTACCTTAGACGGAGAAAAAGAGGCGAGCATAAATAGTGGTCACGCAACGCAACGCAACGCGTGAGCTCGGGGAGGGGGAGAGAGGGGCGGCAACGGCACAGAGGTTCAGCTGGAGGCTCGATTGTAAAGGAAACAAATGTGTTACTCACAGGTTTTAGAACTCGTTTCACTTCCTGTAAGGTTTTTCTTGTTTGATCGTCATCAATGGAACACACCACTAACGTGCAAACAACTGCGGCAACAGAATTGTCGTCGACATCCAGTTGCGCCGCCGAAGCCACGACAAACTTCTTCAAGTGGACTCTGTCGGCAGCTTTATCCAACCTTGCTTTAAGACGGTCTTGTACGTGCGGATTGCAATCAACAGCTATAAGCGAGGTGCCATGGGGATAATAATCAAAGTTCTCCCCTGAACCGATGCCTATTTCCAAAACATCGCCTTTTACTGTTTTCAAGTGTTCGCTCAAATCAGCGAAAATCTTTTCTTTCAAGGGAGCGAACACTTTCCTGGTTGTTTCTGCAAATTGGGCTTCACCACCGGCAAAAATTCGTTTGTACCAGTTGGAAGTTAGGAGAATTTTTCTGGCTTTCTTTAAAATCACTACAACAATCACTGCAATCAACGCTACACCACAGACAAGTGAAATGGATGCCATTTTGCACGTACAACTGTCTCGAAATCGCGTGAACAATCACGTAACTGTCTGTCACGCCAGTAGTCGGTTCTACTGTCTGTGTGACAGTGCAGCCACCATTTGACTTAGACCTACTCAGCCAGCAGCGATCTAATAAAATGCAATATTCTCTTGACTTGCCATCACTCCAAAATAAATAGCCCGGTCCTCACTAGCGACGCAAGTATAAGCACAGGCGTAAGCATAAATGAAGCTTATGCGCTAGCGGTACCTTGACAAATGCAAAATTTGCGATTATTCTACTCTATAGATAGCAATCGCAACAAAGGCGCTCAATAAATTACACAGGGAGAATATTTCGCAGTTTTTGAAATTTCATTAACGGCGAAGTAGTCACCCAATAAATTGTACAGACAGAATATTTCGCAGTCATTGAAATTTCATTAGCGGCGAAGTAGTCACCAAGTAAAAAGATAGATAAATTTTTGTTCTCCAACAATGCGTTTTATTGTCATGTTTGTCATGTTTGTCATGTTTGTGTGTGCGTGATATTTCTTGTTACGCTACGATGGTCAAAGAAAAATAGCTTTTACGATAGAAACATATGTCATTTGCAACCCTGATATTATTATTATTATTGTTATTATTATTATTATTATTTATTTATTTTTAAATAATAAAAAAAGAGGAGTGTTTATTGTGACAAAAACTAGAGCTAAGCTTTACAAAATGCTACAATATTTACATAATTTGATGTCTGTTAAACCTGTAAAACATGTTTCCGTATCTAATCATGATATCATGGTTACTAC